AGGAATGCCCACGTTTTATGAAATGCTTAATTGCTGTTACTTCTTTCACTGGTTTTTAGGAGGCAGACATATCTCATCACAGAATATTTAACCTTTCTCTTAAAATACCATCTTTCTGCCCATTCATAAAGCAGCTACCACTGAAGTGCCCAGATATTCAAATTTCATTAGCATAGCATTAAAATATTCCCATTGCTCTACACTTAAAGAATTTTTTAAAGGGGATATGACACCGTGAAGACGGCTGAATAGTCCTACATTTTACCTCTCCTTATGGATTTTTTTATAAGCTATGAACAAGCAAGTTAAAATAATATCTTTTCATTAGATGAAACCTATATTTTTCAAAATAAAGAAGAGCTCGAATATTCACCAGTCTGACTTTTAATAGATTTACTAAGTATGTTTTATTGTTACAATTCAATTTGGCAATCATTTAAAGAATTCTATCATTCATGTTAGACAATGTTAACCAGTTTAACGAGTATATTTTGCAGTAAATATTACACAGTGGGAAGGAATCTAGGTTTCTGGAGTATAAGGGTGAACGCAGCTACGTAATAGTTGACGGCAGGCGGGTTCTCTGGGAGTTGAAAGTCCTGGGTCCTTCCCCCAGGATGAGCACCATGCTTGTGAATAACCCGAGGTAAGTCCCCGAATCCCTCAGGTCTCAGTGCCTTCAATTCTAGAATTAATAGGTCAATGCAGTAATTCCTAAGATCTCTGCTGCTTGCTCTAAAACTCCCTGACTTTAATCACTGTTTTTACAGTTTGCCATCTTTCTTATTTAAATCATAAAATATTTAAATACTCAGTCAACAAATATTTATTAACTATCTACACTGCAATAGGCACAGTGGGGTTTATTTTGTTTGTTTTGTTCTGGGTTTTTTTGCGGTACATGGGCCTCTCACTGTTGTGGCCTCTCCCCGGACCGGGGCATGTACCCGTGTCCCCTGCATCGGCAGGTGGACTCTCAACCACTGCGCCACCAGGGAAGTCCAGGCACAGTGGGTTTTTTGTTTTCTGTTTTCTTTTTGTGTGTGTGTTACGCGGGCCTCTCACTGCTGTGGCCTCTCCCGTTGCGGAGCACAGGCTCCGGACGCGCAGGCCCAGCGGCCATGGCTCACGGGCCCAGCCGCTCCACGGCGTGTGGGATCCTCCCGGACCAGGGCACGAACCGGTGTCGCTTGCATCGGCAGGCGGACCCTCAGCCACTGCGCCACCAGGGAAGCCCGGCACAGTGGTTTTAATGAATGCTTTCATTTTGCTTTATTTTATGTCTCAGAAAGATCTGGCTGCTGCCGCTCCCCTTTTTGAAGATGTTCATTTAACAGTTGATCCTTTGGAACAGGAACTAGAGAGACAGTGGGTGGGTCATTAATTCCTAGGCATGCCAAAAGTTTCTTGTAAAGAATTCTTCCTGAAGCAATATCCTGAAACTTATTGCAGAGTCTGAATTTCAAAAATAATTAGAGGGGCTTTTCTGGTGGCGCAGTGGTTGGGAGTCCGCCTGCCGATGCAAGGGACGCGGGTTCGTGCCCCGGTCCGGGAGGATCCCACGTGCCGCGGAGCGGCTGGGCCCGTGAGCCGTGGCCGCCGAGCCTGCGCGTCCGGAGCCTGTGCTCCGCAACGGGAGAGGCCGCAGCGGTGAGAGGCCCACGTACCGCAAAAAGAAAAAAAAAAAAAAAAAAATTAGAACACACCCATTAGAATGGCTAAAAGAAGACTGACCCTAGCAAGTGTCAGCAAGGCTGCGGGTCACTATGGCTCTCCTCTACTGCTGGTGGGATGCAAAATGGTGCAGCCACGTTGGAAGACACCTTGGCAACTGAATATCCACTTACCAGAGGAACCAGCTGTTCCAGCCCTAGGCGCTTAGCCGAAAGAATAAAACTGTATGTCTACACAAAGACGTGTAATACATGTGGCTTTATTTGTAATAGCAAAAACTGGAAACAAACCAAGTGTCCATCAATAGGTGAATGTGGATCCACAAAGTGGGGTAAGGCCGTGAAACAGAATTCTACTCAGCGATGGGCAAGAACCATACAACAACGTGAGTGAACCACAAAATCATTATGCTTGGTGAATAAAGCCTAACAAAAAAAGAGAACATCTTGTAGCCTTCCATTTATAGAAAATCCTAGAAGATGCAAAGTCATCTGTAGTGACATGGTGGTAGGTGGGTGGAAGAGATGAATTGCAAAAGCGCACAAGAAAGCTTCAGGGGGAATGAAAAAGTTTGGTATCTGGATTGACAGCGTGCGATGGGTTCACGGAGATATATACACATGATGGATTTCCTCAAATTGTATTATTTAAATATGTGTAGTTTACTGTTTGTAAGAATACTGCAATAAAGCTATAATAAGTGTAAAATAAAGAAAAAGTTTCGTGAGAAATTTGGTATGGAATGATGGAAGTACTCTACTGGAATTTTGGGATATGCAAATATTTGAGAAAAACATAGGAAACCACTAATATGGCAGGATCTTTTACTTTTCCAACATTTTGTTTGTTAATATTTTTCTAATCATAAAGGTTGTACGTGCTCATTGTTGCAAACTTGGTAAAGGCTGAGACCCAAGAAAAAATTCCACAGATCCGTTAAAATGCACAGGGCTTAGAGCACAGTAGGTGTGGGTGTGAGCCCTGGATTCTGCCTCCCGGGGTCTGGATATCGGCTCCATGACTGAAGGCGGGCTTCACGAGGTCTGGTCCGCGGACACTTCCCCGGCACAGTGAGGCCATGGCTCTTTTCACATGAATACACGATGTCATTTGTCTCTTCCACCCTGAGTCTCTGGTGCGTGTACCGTGGACTTTCCAGAGGCTGCAAGGCCTGTGATCATTCCTTGCTCCGACCGCTGGTGGAGTGTGTGCTCGTGTGAGCTGCGCTCACTAACATGGTCTAAAGCTGCAGAAACACGTAGGGCTTCCATGAGGAGCTGGAGTGAGCTTTCAGAGCTCAGCTCAGCTCAGTTTCTTCTTCTTTTTTTTTACATCTTTATTGGAGTATAACTGCTTTACAATGGTGTGTGAGTTTCTGCTGTACAACAAAGTGAATCAGCTACACATATACATATACCCCCATATCTCCTCCCTCTTGCGTCTCCCTCCCTCCCTCCCTATCCCACCCCTCCAGGTGGTCACAAAGCACCGAGCTGATCTCCCTGTGCTATGCGGCTGCCTCACACTAGCTACCTATCTTACGCTTGGTAGTGTATACGTGTCCATGCCACTCTCTCGCCTCGTCATGGCTTACCCTTCCCCCTCCCCGTGTCCTCAAGTCCGTGCTCTAGGAGGTCTGCGTCTTTATCAGCTCAGCTCCTTTACAGCACTTTACTAGCTCCTTACGAGCTCGTGTTGTTTATCCCTGCTCTAATTTCTGTAACCTCTTTATTATCCAATAAATCCTTATTTTGAAATCCCAAAGTTTTTCCTGAGCCTACAGGGAAACACAAGTAGTAAGTGCGCTCTCATTTTCTGCAGTGACAGGTTAAATGTCTCAGTTTTAGCTTCTCATACAGTAAGTATTGGTAGACACACTCCATACAACAGAAACCCTTTGAGGTCCTCGATAACTTTTAAGAGCATCAAAGGGTCGAGAAGCTCTGACCTGGGGCACGTGACCCTTTCTATGCTTCAGTTTCCTTGTCTATAAAATAAAATGAAAGTCCCCACCTCAGAGGATTACTGTACTGTAAAAATTCCATAAGAGGATCCACGTAAAGCTGTTAGCACTGGGCTGGCCTGCTGCATGTATCTGTGCTCAATAAACCACAGCTGGACTAACAGGATCACAATATCATGATGACATGCATGTAGCCAGCGGTCAGAGCGTGAGCTCCAAACTACGCTTTGCTCAGCAAGTACTAGCAATTGTTATAATTGCTTCAGTAATACTCTGTGATGAGCACTGTGTTAAGTATTATAGCTACAACTGTGAGAAAACCAAAGCAATGCCCACCTCAAGGAGCTGCAAGAGGCTGGGAAACTGCTCATTCTGAACCAAGGGAACAGATCACCGAAAAGCCCAGAGGCAACAGAGAGCTTGGTGTTCTCAAGAAATAGGAAGCCAGTCAGCCCAGCTGAGCTGGGACCTGCAGGAACAGCCGCAGCATACGAGAGCTTCCCAAGGGCTTGATACTGGGTGAGAGGCTTTATGCCTATTGCCTCATTTGATCCTGACCACAACTCTCTAAGTAACATTTGCAGGAGGGAAGAGGCTCAGAACTTGCCCAAGTTCACAGCTAGCTCCGGGCCGAGTTGGGATTTGAACCCAGGCAGTCTGGCTGCAGAGCCCGAGCTCTGGAGAGGCTTTTTTCTTTTTTTTAATTAATTAATTAATTTTATTTATTTACTTTTGGCTGCATTGGGTCTTCGTTGCTGCATGCGAGCTTTCTCTAGTTGCGGCGAGTGGGGGCTACTCTTTGTTGCGGTGCACAGTCTTCTCATTGCGGTGGCTTCTCTTGTTGCGGAGCACGGGCTCTCGGCGTGCGGGCTTCAGTAGTTGTGGCACTCAGGCTCAGTAGTTGTGGCACGTGGGCTCAGCAGTTGTGGCGCACGGCCTTAGTTGCTCCACGGCATGTGGGATCTTCCCGGACCAGGTTTCGAACCCATGTCCCCTGCATTGGCAGGCAGATTCTTAACCACTGAGCCACCAGGGAAGCCTCTCTGGAGAGGTCTGAGGATCCTGACGGGCTGGGAAGCCACGCTCTGTTAAAGCATCTGGTTATTTCCCTAATGGCAAGAGGACACCCAAATGCTTCAAGCAGGGTTTTAACGTGATCGTCTTTGTAGTTTAGACAAAGACTAGCTACGTACTGGAGAAGAGAATACGGGGGCTTCCATCTCAAATATCCAATTGCCTGCACAACCAACCCACTTAAGTTCACTCATTCATTCATTCATTCCATCGCTTGACACTTAAGATGCCCTGTCCATGAGCCGGGTACGGTTCCACTGCTAGGTACCGGGACTTTGGGAGTGAAGAGACAAAGTCCCCGTGCTTTACATCCTTGGTGGGTGGCACAGGTAGTAAACATAAACAAATGACAAGAGCCATGAAAAATGGAGCCGGGTGACAGGTAGAGAGTACCTGGGAGGTGGGGAAGGAGGTGAATAGAGTGACCTGTCACTCTGGGTGGTGGGGTGTCACCAATCTCCTCTCCAGGTTAACATGCCCAAAATGGAACTTCTGATTTTCAGCCCTGAAACTCCCCCAGCTCAGGTGACAATCCTGAGTACCCAGATGCTCAAGCCGGAAGCTGGGGCTCATCCTTGCTTCCTTCCCACCCCACCCCAATCCACGCCCCTGGCAGTACAAACATACCCTGAACCTCCACGTGAGTTCACGGTGTGTATTCGTAGGAGAACTACAGAGATAAAGGGTAGCTCCATCGGCGGGGGTGGGGGGCTGGCGGTTCTTGTTACATCAAGCTGATTTCCAAAGGGGCTTTATCATTTACACGCCCACAAGGCACACATGAGAGGACCAGTTTCTCAACCTCCCTGCTCTATCTTTTAACGTGTTTGCAAATTTACAATTCTTTTACTTCAAGTGATATCGAACGTAGTTCATATTTCCTTCTACTTATTAACCTATATTTTAAAGCGATAGCAAGTCTCAGGCTCAGAGTCCTTGGCAGATAGAGGCATCTCATTAGGATTTAATCATATTATTTTCATGAAATGCAGTATTAGTGTAACCTCTTTATAGCAAGCGAGGATGTTTTTACATGTATGGTGGTAAGAAAAGCCTTTAAAAAATTAGTATACTCAGAAAAAGAGGAGTTGATATAAAGAAAATAAAATGTACTCAGGTAGAACATGAATGCCCAAAGTTTGGGCGACATCTTCCTTTTTATGGACAAGTAAACAGAGACCCCCAAGAGGTTCCCCTCTCTTGCCCCTTGGAAGTTGCAGTTTCCCAGGGTTCCTATTCCTTCTCCAACCTCCCCCTCAGCTGATGATCTCGCCTCCCACTGCACCGAGGAGGGCGGGACTCCTAGGTTAGCGCCCACGCCCACCCCTCTTCCTGGCCTGGCTCCATCTATCAACACTTTTTCTCTCCAGTCTCTGGTTTTCCACTAACTTCTCCTCCCAGCCCACAGACAAGCACAAAGCCTGTCTGTGAAGCAGGTGAACCCTTTCTCAGCACTGCATCCTCCACTCCACAAGCACCCCTGGCACCTGCTGGGGGGTTCACCCGCCCCTCCCAGCCCCGGCCCCTGCTCAGCCCACCTGCTTCCCGTGCGACTTCGGACCTGGCTGGCCTCCTCCTGCCAGCTTAGCCCCAGGCACCACCCTTCCTGTCCCCTTGCCCCAACCTTCTCGGCCTCCTTTGCTGCTGGACCAGCCAGGGCCCTGGTTGTCTGGTGGTGTTCTGCCAGGTCCCACCTGCAGCCCTCTCACCTCAGACGGTCCCCCATCCACCCCGGACAAATGCTTGCTGAACGAATGAACCAACCGTCGGTGTGAGGATGCTGGAGTCTCATCACGGCCCAGACTCCTCTCTGAGCCCCACGGCCTCCCGGAGTCTTTTCCCAGTGTTTTCACCCCGACTGGCTGACTCCTTCTGTGTTCTCTCACTGGCCAGCAGCCCCTGGCATCATTGGAGACTCCTTTCCCTCCTCTGCCATCAGCCTCCCGGTCCAGAGTCACCAGGTCTGTCCTTCTACTGCCCAGACTTATCCCAAAGCAGTCGCCCCCTGCAGTCCTCTGCCGCCCCCTCCTTTCAAGCCCCTTCTTTCCCTCTCTCCCCATTATGTCTGCTCCCCTCACCGGAGCCAGAGCAATCTTTATCCATCAGGGTTTTCAAAGCCCTCTGGGTGGCTCTCAGACCCTGAGGAGAACCCTGCCCGCCGGGTGAATCCGGTTCCGTAGTGTAGAGCCACAGTCCCTCCTGCCCGCCCTTTGGTACCGTGCCCCTGCCGTCCTCCCCACCACACTCCTGCCCCAGGTGTCCACGTGAATGTGCCGTGGGCCCCTAGCCCTCTGGGCTTCCTCCTGCTAGCCTACAGCCTGAAATGCTCTCCCCTTTCTTCTCCAGATTAAAGCATCACATCCCTGGGGAGCTTCTCGCCTTCCATGCCACGCCCCCCCGCCCCATCCTCCCGGTGCTAAGCGTCCTTCAAGAATTGCGCACGGTCATCTGGGCTCACATGCCACGCGGGGTGCGTCTGCATCGGTTTCCCTCACATTAGACCACTCTGTAAAGAAGGGGTTTCTGTAAACCTATTAACAGGACGGCCGGGATGCAGGAGGCTCACGCAGTACTCTTGAGTGAAAGACCAAGTGCAGGAAGAAGTGAACCGCCCTGCCAGTCCTGGGCTCCGCTTCCCTCTCCCTCTCTCCCTCTCTCCCTGTCCCTGGACCACGCGCCGCAAACCACGAGCCAGCGAGCGACTGAAGCCCCTGCAGACACGGGCATCAAGGTGGCCTCCCCGCCTTGCCCACTGCCCAGCCCAGGCCCTCGCCCCTCCCTGAGCTCCTCCACAGCCCCCTCTGGACAGCTGCTCTGGAAGCAGCTGTCACCTGCTTCTCCCCGTGTTTCTTCCACCCACTAGCGAACTGATCTTTCTGCAAATGTTCCGTAAACTGGATGAATGCAAACACCCGGCCTGGCACGCCGAGCTCTCTGCAAGGCCCTCTTGTTGGGGAAAGCCTAGGCCTCCCCCTTCTCTTCTTACAAACCACAGGAGAAACGGGCTGTGAGACATGAGTGTTCACAGAAGGGAGATTCAAGAGGCCAGCAATTACCAATAAGATCAACTATGTTTCAGGTCACTTTAAATCAACGTAATGTAAAGAAAAACAATAAATAAGATTTTTAACATTCCAGTTGGAAGGAATGAAAGAGAATCGTTGTGATTCCACTGGATTTCCACCCATAGTGATCTCCCAGATCACTGCCCACACGCTGGGAAACACCGGCCCCTGTCCTTGAGGCCATGCAGCTCTGAGTTCTGGGACAGCAGCAAGTGGGTGGCAGGTGGCGTGTCGGAGGCATCATCCCCTGCAGAGTGCCGGCTCGGCCTGCAGGTTGTCAAGGTCATCTGCAGAGAGGGAATGCCCCAAGGGGTGAGGCCCTCCGTGTGCAGGGTGAAAGGGACAACAGGCAGGGGACCCCTGGGACCTTCAGGACACCGTTCTCTTCTTTCTCTAATATCCCTGTCCCCCTACCCCCCAGCTTCAGCTCATCCACCACAAATTAAGTTTTAAACTAAGACGAAAGAAAAGTATAATTCAAGTTACCATTTACGGGCTGGCTGATCATCGCCAGACACCCTGGGATGTAAAATGGCATAACGATTAAGAGCATAGGAGTCATGCAGACCAGAGGTAGAACCCAGGCTCTACTGACTAGCTGTGTGACGGCAAGGAGGTGCTTAACGTCTCCAGGCCTCCATTTCCTTATCCACGAAAGGAACTGTCATAGCTGCCCTACACGCTTGTGGTGAGGACTACATAACAGCATATATGCCAAACTCTCAACAAACACCCGATGCTCAGTACAAACTCAGTAAATAGGAGCTATTATCAGTACTACCTACTAACAAGGCAAAAAAAAAAAAAAACGTATAAAAAGGTTTAAAATTGTAAAACAGACTTTATGGAAAACACGGCATGAATTAATTTTGTTACCAGAAAACTTACTTTACTAAATGTTCGGTTGTTAAAAATGGGCAGAAAACGTGCATGATTTTCTTGAAGTTATTTGGCCCAATGAGCCCTGTGTCTCCAAGGTCATGTGACCGCAGCATATTACAGAAAACTTGTAGATTCCTGGAAATGGACTCATGAACAATTTCTTCCACCTAACAGAAAAAACAAACATATTTACCAAGCTGCACGTTTGTAACCTGGGGTGGTAGCACCTTGGGGCCACATAGGAAAGCGTTACTTACTGAATCCCAAGCCAGGAAGAGAGGTGCCTTGGTGTCTTTACAGGAGGATATTTTGCTTAGCTAATTGGGAAAGAGAAAATATATAAATACAAATCACTCATAAAGGTAGTAGGAGCTTTGGAGGCAGGTGGACTTGGATTCTCAGCTTTGTCCCTGATTATTAGCCAATAGCTTTAGACCTTGAGAAGTGAGTTTGCTCCCCACCCCCAATCCCCATCTGGAAATGGGATAATAACATTTAACTTGTGCTTATTTTTAAGAAGTACACAGGAAACATGAAAAAATCCATCACCTAGAAATCAAATAAATGCAAAGTGAAAGAATAATGAGATGACATTTTTGCCTATCAGAGTGGCAGAAATAAAAAAGGAAGCAAACTGCTAGTGTTGAAAATGGATAACATCAGACAGTTTGATAATCTACAGCCTCTAGAGTAACAGTGACTGTCTCTGGGGAGCGGCTGGGGACAGAGGTAGAGGGAAAACTCACTTCCACTGTATTCCCTTCTGCATCTTTTGCATTTTGTACTTTATACATATATTCGACTTTTAAAATAATTAAAATATTTTCAAAATAATATATAAAATTTTTATTCCATTTCTGGAAATTTATACTAAAGAAATTATCATAGGATGATTAAAAAAAAGGAGGCAATACAATATTCCTTGCAGCAAAATTTATAAAAGGAAGAAAAATGAACACCCAGATTATAAGAGCAGGGAATACGCTGCATCTTTTAATATTACATAGCAGAATTTTTACTGACACTAAGGGTTAACAATACGTTAATCAATGACAAACTAAAAAGTCACTCATTATGTGGTCTCATTTTAAAATAAAATAGATACTATATATGACAGTATACATATATCCAGTTCATCAAATTATATACATTACATATGTGCAGTTTTTATATATCAGTTATACCTCAATAAAGCTGCAAAAAATCATATGCCTGTGCAGGTATAAAGGTTTGGAAGGATATGCAACAAAGTATAAGAGTGAGTAACAATGTAACACAATTCCTCAGTGTTAGAATTAGCAGTGACCTTAAGTTTCTTCTATTTGCATATCTCTGCCTTCTAACGTTTCTAATTCACTTGTTTATATTAACATTCACTCAACAAACTGCTTTGTGAGTGCTGCTGGCACTGGGCTATGCCTGTGGGTACAATCGGCAGTAAAACCAGAAAGGCCTCCACCTTCCTGGAGGCACGAAAACATCTTGACAGAAACGTGACCCTGTGACTGGCACAGGTGTGTGAGGTTGATGACTGCAAGACAGCCTTCATCAGAGGGGTCAGGGAGGGTCCCTGGAGAACGGACCCTGGACCAGGAAGCGGGAAGGGGATCCTGGCAGGAGCTGCACTGCCGAGGATGGCGGCGGGAACCTGGGGAGCCCGAGGACCCAAGCGGTGCGGCGGTGAGGAGACCCCGTGAGAGGCGGCAGGGCTGGACCACGTGGCACCTCATCAGCTACGTGGGGAAGTTCTGCTTTATCCTGCGGGTCCCAACGCCATTAGAGGGTTTGCAGCCTGGAGGCTGACAGCATCTGACTTAAGAGTAGGCAGAGACCATGCTGCTGGCCACATGGAGAGCAGACTGCTCACATGTCTATATTTCTGTTTTTAAAGAAAAAAAGGTGGCTATGTGCAGGGCTGCTGTGACCGTCAGAGGTGATGATTTACAAAAGCTAACACAGGGTCTGTCCCACAGCACAATTCTGGAAAAGTTGCAGTTCTTCATTTTTGCGTGTAAAAGGGCTCTGGGAGTCACTTTTGAATCAGAGTTCAAGAAGGATTGAGTGACATGGTTTAGGATGTGCACAAGGTGGGCATTCAGGAAGCCATAATTTTTTTTTTTTTTTTTTTTTTTTGCGGTACGCGGGCCTCTCACTGTTGCGGCCTCATCCGTTGCGGAGCACAGGCTCCGGACGCGCAGGCTCAGCGGCCACGGCTCATGGGCCCAGCTGCTCCGCGGCACGTGGGATCTTCCCGGACCGGGGCACGAACCCTTGTCCCCTGCATCGGCAGGCGGACTCTCAACCACTGCGCCACCAGGGAAGCCCAGGAAGCCACAATATCGAAACCAAAAGCTAATCTGTACCTGGTAAAGATAGTCTTTAACAAACATTTCAACGAGACTCTGTTAGTGCTTACTGCACACATTATCTGAAACTAACCTGACTTTTTAAAGTTCTTAAAATGTTAAAATGAAAATAGCTATTAAAGTTATAGAAGTATTTTTAATAATAAAACCATCAACTTTTCAGCCAAAAGAAACAAATACTAAAAGTAAGTGTTTGGCACTAGCGGCAATAAGCAGTTTTTGTTTTTGTTTCTACTGCAAGACGTGATTGCAAGAGCAGTGCCGTTGCAATGCTGGGAAAAGGAGTCACATCCAGCATATAAAATGCCGTCACTCAAGGAAAAGTTTTCAGAAATGTCAAAGAGCATCCTTCAACGAGACTTAAAAACTAAAAGTTAAGCAACTTTTAAACACAACTCTTACTTAAAAATTAACGCAGCTGAAAAATGTGCTCATCCATTTATTTAAACCGTATTTCACCTGCCCCTCTTATTTCACTAAGAGTACTTAAGTTGCCTGCCGTGAAAAGCAAAAAAAGCAAACATCGGGCCTCCCTGGTGGCGCAGTGGTTGAGAGTCCGCCTGCCGATGCAGGGGATACGGGTTCGTGCCCCGGTCTGGGAGGA